TGCAGCAAAACCGAGTAAAGGAAGAGTCTCCCCTCTGTTCACCAACCAACCTAGACTTGATTCAACCACTTACTCAAAACAGTCAACTCATGCATCCAACTCAAGACATCAGAACAGAGACCAAGCAATCTAGTCCTCACCGGGGTACAAGAGTATATAGAATATGAAAATGAATCACTCACCCTCGACCAGTGGGGTCAGGACAATTTGATGCGAAAAATGCGCATGCTATTTCTCTCAGTCCCTAACATCTCTTCACCATGATGGCAGCCTCTAAATGCTAGAGTTCACATATGGGTTGTCACCACTAACTAATCCGGAGGTCTTAGACACAGGTTCAAATGACTGGCTAGGGTCTTGGACATGGGGAAAAGGCCTTTTAAGTGGTGGAAGTATTCATAGCACAAGGTTCCACATTTCCAAACCCACACAATCACAGTCAAGCAAACCGGTATTTTCTTTCTGCTATTCTGCCATACTCAACATCTCAAGAGCACAAAAGCGAAGGAGGTATAAACATCAGCATTTCCAAGCCAGACTGCTAAGAAACACTACTAAATGGGCATTATTCAGATTTTTGGTAGTGGCTCTCTTTTGCTTTCAATTGTTTCTTTGTTTTTCTTTCATTTTCTTCCCATTTCTTAAGAGAGCCACCACTTCTGCACATATTTCAAACACCTGCCCAACTTTTAAGCACTACCTCCAACACTCACATAAACTTTAGCAGAAACAGCAGAGAATATGCAAAAACCACTCTGTGGAACCTTCTAAAAGATGCAACAAGGGTGACTTTTTTCATTATAGACCAAAAGAAAGGATAACACATGGCTCAAAGGGGCTGACTAGGGGATATGACACATCAGGACAGTCAATTTGGGCGTGGGCTAATCCTATGCCCCCATCATCTTAGCTAGTGACAACGTGAATGCTACACATCATGGAAGAGGGATCTATCGCACAAGAAAGAAACGAGCAGGCTCAAATCTCACATGGCTACCTATATGCTCTATCTCACATTCTGATACCCTGAACTAGATGCATAAACGACTGTCAAGAACAAGTAATCAATCCAATTCACAGTTGGCAAGCAAACAGTTGAAAAACTGAACTCCTACACAATTCTACTGCACATCTCAGTCCTCATCATAGGTTGTCCTAGTCGCAAACAAGTTGTCATGCATTAATCCGAAAACCATTCAATTCATCAATCAAAACACAGTGCCAATATGATCAAACAGCAGTACTTGGAGCCCTCAAATCGTAAGATTCGGACAGCGGACTAGGCTCCAAGCACCCAAATATATATTCCAACCGATACAAAGCACCCCCCCCCCCCACACTTAAGCACGACATTGCCCTCAATGGAGTAGAGGGAGAGATAAGGGGAACGATGTTACTGGATTGAAACACTGCTGGGGGACTGGAAGTGGACCAGTCAGCGAGAAACAAACGGGAGAATGGACAGTTCTGCACGAATTGAACACCAAAAACACTAGCACACTGTGCGTTAGGGATAAGTGTTAGCCCAGACGGCTACATCATAAACAAACCACAAAAGAAAACCAAAAACAAAAACAAACGACACTAAGTTCCAGCTCCTCACACATGGAGCAAACACACAAAAGTCTAAAACGATAAATAAAACACACTGAGACGGGCAACGAGTACAGCCTACTCGTCGCCAAGATCATCCAAATCGATGTCAATGTCGGGCATGAAGGCGTTATCACCAGCAGCGCCATCAGCACCATCATCACCGTCAGCTGGGGCATGTGGAAGTGGGGAGTCATCCCAGGGAGTCCTCCAGACGGGTTGCTCGCCCGGGAGCAGCTGGAGCAGGTGCTGCTGAACCTCCTGCATGCGCCGTGAACGGCGCTTCTCCCGCTCGATGTGGGCGAGAGTCACGCCCTGCTGTGTCTGGAGTATGTCCAGGCGCTCATCATAGGCAGCCATCCTGTTCCGGTACTCGGCCTGGTGCTCCGCATACTGCTGATGAAACTGCATCTGTTGGTCGAGGATCTGCTGGTTCTGGATCCGCAGCTGCTCGTACTGGTAAGAGAAGTAATCCTGGCCCGGGAAAGCGGAGCTGCCACCGCCGTAATGGAAGTCAGTCTGTGGTGGATCAGCAGCAGCGTGCACATCCTCTAGCTCCACATCATCAGCAGCCTCCTCCTCCTGGCCCTCTGGCTGGTCCTCTGGCTCGGGCTCTCGCAGCAGGTGCATGTGACCGAGCGTCTTCCTGCCAAAGACGACGGTGTCTCCCTGCTGTGCGCACCCCTGCAGCGAAAGCCCGAAGTAGGTGGCAATGCGGGTGATGAGAGGGGCGCAGTGGAGGCTCTTCAGTTCCGTGGCAGTCTTCTCAAAGGTCCTAGCCACCACCGATCCCAAGTGGAGAGGATGGTCGTACTGGCACATCGAAGAGATGAGGTACATGGCCCTCTTGGTGATGGTGCTGGCACTATCAGCCGCTGGGGTGTAGGACTTCGCCAGCAGGTGGTGGAGAAGGCGGTTCTTGACTAGCAGGGTAGTGGCCTTCGTCCTCCCGGCCCGGAAAGGTTTCCTCTGGCCTGTCTTAGCCAGGCGGGTGTACAGCCTCAGAAAGTCCACCTCCGGCGGGTCGTTAACCTCGGTGACGTAGTCCGCACCGTCATCCAGGTCGAGGTCGAGAGCCTCGGCCAGCTCATGGTAGCTCATCGACCGGGGGGCACCGCCTAGCCGGAATCTGACGGCGTTACCGTCTTTCCAATCGGTCGTCTGTGTGTGCCTGAAGGTCGTGTAGAACTCCAGGACGGGCTCGTAATAGACCTTCTCGCAGATGTTAAGCAGACGGTGCCATGTGCGGTTGGCGAGGGCGGCAGAAAGTTGCTCGTAGCAGTTCAATTTCCTGAACTCCCGTTTGGACCAGCAATGGTGCTGCCCAAACGGGGTGGCCAGGACCTCCTTGAAGCGATCCTCGTCGGGGCCCCGCCTCAGATCCCGGATGAACGGGTGCTTGAGATCTGGTTTCGACATTGTCCTGCAAAAGAACAACCCAAAGTGGAGCCAAAAGAGCCAAAGAAAAGGTCAAGCACACCCCCACACTTAAGAACAGAAAAACAGCATAACCATGGTTTCATCCATAGTTCGGGGGCCAAAAACTCGATAAATCAAGCATAATCCGAGTGGGGGTGCACATTCACAAGAAAATAGGCATCTTAAGGTTCACATCCATAGCAATTACACCCTCAAACTACATCAGTAAGGGCCCCAACCGGTGGCCACAACATGGCATGAAAAGCAGGCATTTCATCAAACACCTTGTGTGCACTATTAAGTCGTGCCTCGTCCGCACGGGCCGGCCCGCACGGCCGTGCAAGGGGCACTTTTGCCCGTGTTGGCCGACACGGCCTGGCCGAGGGATTCCGCACGGCCGTGCAATGTGCACATTTGGCCATGCGGATTTTGCCGAGAGCTCGCACGGCCTGGGGAAAATTCCACACGGCCGTGCGAGTATATTTAAGCCCGTGTCGGCCACACGGCCAGGCCAGGCTGAGCCACACGGCCGTGCAATTATGCACTTTTGGCCGTGTGATTTTCGCCGAGAGCTTCCACGGCCAGGGGAAAAATTCCACACGGCCGTGCAAGTTTGTGACCTGGCCGTGCGCAGTGTTGGAGCCCCGAATTCAACCTGTTTTCACTCATAAAACGACACTTGACTCTGGATCAACATCTCAAGACTAAAAAACACAAAAAAAATCAAAGGAAAAAGAGTAAGAAAATGCAAACCTCGGTGGGGTTGCCTCCCCACAAGCGCTTCTTTACCGTCTTTTAGCTGGACGCCAGTATGGATGCTCAGGGAAGTGTAGGATCAGGTGCCTTCAAGAGCGGATCCACATCGCTCTTGAGGTACAGCTTCAAATGGTGGCCATGCACGCGACGAATGTGGCCACCCGCATTTGCCAGCTCGACTTGGCCATCCGGCAAGATGCAACCGAGCGAATACTCGGATGGCCAAGGTGGGGGCAAACGCTCGTCCAGTTTTTGCCATTTAGCCGTTAAATTTAATTAAAAAAATTGCAGAAAATTGAAATAAACCAAAAATGCCGGGCCCTCAAACTGAATCCTTATTTTCATTTCACAATTTCGAAGGAAAGAGACGAGATCTGATTAAGAAATGTCCACTATTTATACTGATAACGTTTATTAGATACCGGTTCTGTAACGGTTTTTAAACGGTCTAATGCCGATTGGACCACTAAAATGCGAGCCGTTCGCATTACCGAGTCATGCTCCAATTCGGTTATGACAACATTGCTATATACCCTACTAGACATTCATTCATGAACTTATCTCATATTCGATATGTAAGCTTGTTCTTGATATAACCCAAAGCCGAAAGACTCTTTCGACACTTGTCGTAGAACCATAAAATCAATACAAATTAAGGGTAGGTTGAAATTAGTTTAATTGCTAGGTTTTGAAAACAATTAGAGATAGAGAATGACATTTTACTATGATACAGTGTTTAAAATCGAACAACAAATGAGTTGAATCTTAATGGAAACTAAGTTTATTACTAATAATAGTGTTCTAGGTCTGAATTACCCAGCCTACCACTAATATTCTCAAACACAACTTTAAAAAATGACAGTAGGATAATCATTTTTTCAAATTTCAAAAGTGTCCCTGACTATCAATTATAATATTTTGACCTTACATAAATTATCATCGTGGGTTGAACAATCGTTCTCTCAAAATTTAAAGACACCCCTAAAGCCCTATGTGTCCGCCCTGCTTCAGATAGATATCCTTATTTATTTAAAAGAAAAAAAGGGAGTACAAGAGAGAATCGCATAAACATACAAACCGCGGCGACCAAATAAAAGGCAAAACAACGGCTCCAACGTCCGCCGATGGTTCTAGGTCCAAATGATCAATCAAATATCGAACCCCGTCGTCATGAGCTATATCCCGTTTTGTTTGTCCCTATCTTCACTACCAAATTACACGGTTATCCATCCCTATAATAACGATATTAATTAAAGTACCAATATCCCTAATTACAGCAGTATTAACAAATATCCCGAATAAATAAAAACATATTCTAAATATCTCATCCTTATCCAGTTCTCTGTTTGGGGGACACCGGGGGTTGGGGGAGCTGGGCCCCACCAACCACCAGCAAATTTTCTATATTATTATTTCACGACCCCAATCCCAAACCCACTCTCATTCTTCTCCTTCATCCATATTCCCCCTTCCTTCTTTTGCACTGTCATAGTGAAGCTCTGAGAATGACGACGGCCATGGCGATGAAGTCGGCTATTCTTCGTTCGTATTGTCCACTTCCTTCGCTTTCCCAAGCAAAAGCGGATTTCCACCCTACTTCAATAAGGGCCCTTTCCCCCACCGTCACTTGTTCTTCTTCTCCTTCCTCCTCTTCTCCTTCTGCTGCTATAGCTTCAAGAAACGTCCCCAAGCTGGAGCCGTTTAGCCGGAGCAAGCTGGATCGGGCTCTCAAGGACCCGCCTCTCATCCAAAAGTCTCTCAACGAACTTGCTGGTAAACTATATTTTTCTTCCCCAGTAAATGATAATTTCTTGCTCCCTTTTCTGTCGGCAAGAATGGATTTTCAGATCTGGTGATGCTTTTTTTGCATAATGATTTACTAATAATATCATGGTTTCGCAGATTACTGTGTAAATCTTGAAGGCGACGATGCTTATAGCGGCTGGAGAGCCTATTTCGAGCTGAAGGACCTCCAAGTAATTCCCTTTTCCTCATTGTTGGATGTATAAAGAGAAATCAGAATTCAGAATTGATTGGTCAAAGAATATCCTCATCAATCAAGCGCAAATTCAAAAATATGGACGAAATCGGTGGGGCAAAATTATTGGCACAAGAATGGGAGCTGGCAATTTCTAAATAGCTAGAAATGGAAAGCTTGACAGCTATTCAAAATGCCTTTCCTCATGAAGAAGAGCAGCAGCAACGGCTTGCATCTAGGTGTAATATATATATGCTCCTTGATGTCTTCGGTTACGCATCTGTGTGGGAGCGGTAGAGGGCTCAGAGCAAAGAGGGTTAATCAAGTTAGAGGAATAGGTTCTATTTGATTAACGGTGTAACGGGTCTGAGATTTGTGATCCGGGTTCTTTCATCTTCTGTTGCTTTAGCTACATCGAGTCTTTGTTTTGTGCTTGATAGGAAAAATCTAATAAAAAAAAGAGTCTCCTAGAAATCAGTGGGTACTGATTCTAGGACGAGGATTGACCAGTAGTTTGGGAACCTCGTTAAAAATCTCTGTGTCATTATCGTTACCTTTGCTGCCCTTTGTGTTTATGTTTGCTCTGCTTTCTGGGTTTCTAGAAAAGGAACAGAGGATGAACTCTGTATTCTTCTTTTGAGCTAGGAACAATAAGCCTCCTCCTCCCTCTCCTGCATACTTTGTTTTAATTGCTCCGTGGGCTTTTAATTAATTCTTTTGTTTTGTTTCTAACTTTTGTGGGCTTAGTTTGATCCCAAAGCCCATTTCTTAAAGGAAAACGCAGAGAACAAAAGAAAAGGAGTTTATCCTTTTTCTAGTCTTCCTCATCTCTTCGTTCTCTCTTTCCCCTCTACAGAAGCTCGAAATCCCTAATTCTTGCATCAGTCAAATTCACACTCATTTGTGTATTTGTGTTTTCTTTCTTCCTTTCAAAACCCACTTCAATTACAGCAGTAAATCAGAGTCCAAACGGGCTTTTGGGAGATTTGAAATTGGACTAGAATTCCCTTTTGCTTGGAACTTACTAGTTAGAAGCAGAGTCGCTCTGCGGGGGGAAACGAAAACAGGATTAGGATAGGATCGATTGCTTCAAATCTGGTTTTGTAGGAGGGAAGAAGGGAATTATGGATTCACTGAACTAACAGCCAAATTCTTGCACTTTTCAGGATAGGGTTTCAAAGGAGGAAGTCGAGAAGCTGATTCTCCAAGCTGGTGGAGTGAAATCCTTGATTGGTTGCCTACACGGTATCTCCTCGATGCACAGCAAAAAGGAAGGCACTAGTGGCTCCTCTGCCTCTGGTGATGCTCAACAAAGTGTTAAGAAGCAGAGGGAGAGGCTATGCCCGATCCCCGACGGCCTGCCGAAATCTCGAGAGGAGATGGAAGAGGACGAGAGGGCTAGGATGCCTGATTCATCCTATACTAGGTTGCTTAGAACTAAAGGGAGGCTTCCTGCTTGGTACTCTCTTGCTCCTGACCATGAAACTGATTGATCCGATTTTGGCCTCTGGTGCTGATTTCTTTTATCAGTTGCCTGCCTCCATGTAAATATATGTGTATTTGTTTTGCTTAGGTGAGTTTTGTTTTGGAATTTGTTAGCCCGACTGCTCAAATTTTCTTCTGATGTTGTATACTTGTTATAGCATTTTGCGCTCGTTGTGCCGACTCTGTCATTGTACTTCAAGCGGGGAGCTCTCTGTGATTTAAGTGTTGGCTTTTCTAAGAGTGCCTAGAGAAAAGCTTTCTTTGTTATCAAACTATGATCCAAGTTCTCTGAAACTCTCCTGCTCCTACTGCTGAGTTCTTTTGATACTGGTTTTGGTCTTGAATCTAATGTGCTTTTGGTTTCGACTCGATTTTATGGCCGAACAATATGAATGAATTGGATATACTCTTTATCAAGCACGGAGCTAGGGTTGCAATTGAGTCGAGTCAGGGTGGTCGACCTAGACCTAGCTCGAGCTCTACTCCTAGAATTGACACGAGTTGTAAAGTGAAATTCTGGTCTGGAAAGCCTAGTTCAACCTCGACCTGCTTAAGAACATTTCTATGATCCCCATGAAAGGAAAAAAAGCTTCCTATTAGAGAAGAGGGTGCATCGGGTTCGCATCACCATCTCAAGCACACCTTCCACAATTCCAATTACCAATCTGCAGTCTCTTCACATTCTAATTTCACTTCTGCGTTTGTCAAATTCCTACATTTTCAATTGTAATTTATTCCTACTAACAACCCTGTTCTAGAGATGTAGGATAAAATCAGTAAAAAAGTAATCGAATTGTTATAGGTATGCTTCAACATTCAGATGTTAAAATGGATACGTAATCTTTCTTAAGAATCAAACAGTGAAGACGAAGTATGTACAACTTGGATTAAAACAGCTATGAGAAATGGAATTCTGCGGCTTTCGTTCTTAACCATCTCTTAATCTTGCCTCAATATATATCTTTCAGAATGATTTTGATTCCTTTGTTCTTTTAGCAACATATCAGATCTGCATGGAGAAAAGGGAGTGAATAACATGGGAATAGTCCATGAGAGAGCACATTGACAAGCATGGCAGCAGTGGAGGAAGTGAATGCACCCGGTGGAGCAGTTTAGAGTTCATGATATGACCACTTCTCTTCCGAGTAATTTCAGAAACTAATCTCTTTAAGCTTGATAGTGACAACATTGAACAAGTTCCGGTGGCCAAATAATATTTCGAATTTGTTTATTAGAGAATCACTCTATCATCAATTTATTTGATACCTATGGCCAATTTATATTGCTGGACATGATTCAACAAAACATGTAAGAAAATGAAGATGCAGTGCTCTTAATTTCTGCAAAAAGGACTGGATTTTTGGTTCACGGAGATCCGCACCGTTGAAGGCAAGTTCGATTTGTTGAAAATTGAAATCAGTTAGAAACTACCAATCAGGGTTTGTATGCAATTGCATTTTTATGGCTGTTTGTTGTTTCTATGCTATTTCTTGATTCTTATTCTTTGTTACTCTGCCTTTCATATCTGCAGGTTCAAGATTACTGCCCCTGCTGCAGGTATTGATGTTCACTTTTGCATACTATGATATATATGTAATGCAACTGCACTTTCTTCTGAAAAATAATTGCCAATGCAGGTTGTTTAATTTGCTTCTTGTCTCACTTGCAGACAATGGTTTGTTTTGTGAGGTTATATGTCTTCTAGTTATTAGACTCGTATTGAATGCTTAGCCATTGATTAGGTAAGGTTAGCTCTATTTCAGAGTATCTTTAGTATTGTGTTTTAATTATTTTCTCTTCAAAATCACACCTAAACGTTCTCAAAGAATAACAAAGCATCCTCCCATTTGATAGTGTGATAAAATACAAAATGGTAATGAAAACATGAAAATGCAAACAAAAAAAAAAGATTCGACATTGAAGTTCGCCCATAGTGAACCATTCAACCTCGCTCTGGCATGCGCCTCACGGCGTATGTTGATGCAACAAAAGAATCTCGTATGGAAGTTAGCTTTTTGGCAACATCAGTTATTTTCATACGCTCTCTCGACAAATCTACACTGCAGCTTATAGCGGTTTGCATCAGCGACTCTAAACAGTCTCTACCACTTTCGGTCAACACCATCTCCTCAATTTCAATGCCTGTATCACCCGTATGTCCTGTTGTCCTGCTTCCTACCACTCCCCTATCCCCAATTGCGACTAGCGGGAGAAACATTGCCGGGTCCAAGATTGATAATATGTCTTGAGGAATTGCTGCTTTCACAAAGTTGCAAAGATTAATACCTTCTTTGAACATCTCATCTGTGGGTCTTTTTCCGGTGAACATCTCTAGCAAAAGTATCCCATAGCTGTACATGTCTCCTTCCATTGACACATCACTTCCCATCCCGTACTCTGATTTTAAGGAAACAAAACATACAATATCAGCATATCACCATCATATGATCTGATGCAATAACAAAAGCAGAGAATGTGTAGTAACATTATGATTGTTTTTGAACTCTTTGTTTTTTGTTTCATCACCTGGAGGGGCATAACCAATTGTTCCTTTGATTCCAATGGTGCTACTTTTGCTTTGGCAGGGATTGTTGCTAGTATCAGTAGACAAGATCCTCGCCAGACCAAAATCACCCACACGAGCAATCATGTCTGCGTCCAGAAGTACATTGCTGGGTTTCAAGTCGCAATGAACTATTGGAGTTCCGGAAAGATCGTGAAGATAGTGCAGTCCAGATGCCACGTCGACCGCAATGTTAAGCCTTTGGATCAAGGTTAGGTTGCGATCAGAGTGCAACCACTCTTCTAGGCTCCCATTGGGCATGAACTCAAAGACTAGAGCCTTGAAATCGTTACCCTTGTTGTCCAAGCTAGAGCAGTAGGTCAGGATTCTGACGAGATTCCTGTGCCTCACATTTTTCAGTGCATTGCACTCCGCCAGTAAGCTCTTATGAGCTTTCTTGTCTTGAATGTTGTTGAGTACCTTGACTGCTACGGGAGTCTCCATTTGTTCCAAAACTCCTTTGTAGATGGTGCCAAATCCCCCAGATCCGATCAGGTTCTCGGAGGAGAACCCATTCGTTCCTTGATGGATGTCTTTGTAGGAAACCATCACAAAGTGGTTTAAAGCAGAATCTGCATCAGAAGTTTGCCTCCTTGATCTCCTCGTTTTATAATGTAGCAGTAGTAATCCTGTTGCAAAAATGATAAAAAGTGACACCAGCACTGTTATGAACGTCAACTTGATAGTGGCAGCTCTTTTCTGCTTCCTAGCTGCTTTAGTCGGGCAATTTGGCAATCGGAGCTCCGAGATTCCATTGCAAAGCATGAGGTTGCCCATCACAGATAGACCACTTGAGTTTGAAAAGATCCCTTTAGTTGGGACCTCTCCTTGCAGATGATTGAACGAGAGGTTCAAATACTGCATGGTTTGAATATCTTGCAGACCTGTAGGAATTCCACCGGTGAAATTGTTCATGGAAAGATCCAGACTTTCCACGACTTTGAGCGAAGCCAATGTTGAAGGAATGTTCCCATCAAAGGAGTTCTGCTGCAGATTCAGTATTTTCAGGCTCTTGCAATTGCCAATCGTTACCGGCATTACCCCTGTTAGAAAGTTGTAAGACAGGTCCACGGCTTCAACATTTTCTAGGCTGCCAATTTCATCCGGGACCTGGCCGCCGAACAAGTTCCGAGACAGGTTTAGTTGAACTGAGAGAGAAGAGAGACTAAAAACCTCGGTGGGTATTTCGGCAGTGAGCTTGTTGCTCGAAAGATCCAACTGGTTGAGCTGACGACAGTTTCCAAGGCTGCGAGGAATGGCGCCTTCAAGCTGATTCTCAGATAAGTCGAGTTGAGTCAATTGGGATATGTTTCCCAGCGTGTTTGGAATCTGGCCAGACAATTGGTTCCCTGTCAAACTCAACCCTTGTAGACTCTGAAACTTGCCAAAATAAGAAGGGATTTCCCCTGTGAATAGATTATAAGACAGGTCAACATTGTTCAAGCTGACCAGATTCTCAATCTCTTCAGGAATACTCCCTGTGATCGCATTGATCCCAAGATAAAGTTGATAGAGCTGCTGTGACAAATTACCCACAGAAGCCGGCAATTTCCCGCCAAGATTGTTTAAAGTGACACCCAATTCCTGCAGCTGGCTGCAGTTGGTCAGTCCTGTCATGAACTCGAAGTCGCCCCCATCCGATGAATTGGTTCCCAAATTGTTGGCCCCTGCGTGAAAATACTGAAGATCCGGGAGACTCCCGAAACAAGACGGGATGCTCCCGGAGAAGCTGTTCTCATTCATCGTTATCCCCTGCATCCGAGTCATGTTGCAGAAGGACGAAGGGATCGGCCCGGACATCCAATTCAAGTTGATTCCATACATGAGCAGGTTGGGGAGTGTGAACCCGATGTCCAGAGGGATTCGGCCGTGAAATTGGTTGTGAATCAATGTCAACGCGGTCAGGGTTGATAGGTTGTAAAGCGAGGGAGGGATCGTACCGCGGAGCTGGTTCACTCCCACCACGAATACGCTTAAGCTGGAAAGCTGACCCACGGTGTCAGGAATTCGACCCTGCAGATTGTTATAAGGAACGCCGAAGTCCTGGAGCTTCGACAAGTTCCCTAACGAAGCCGGGATCGGACCGCTTAGATTGTTCCTCGACATTCTGATGACCTCTAAGTTAGACCAACCCCCGATTTCCTGAGGGATCTTTCCTACCAGACCGTTATCGCTCAACCAAATCCCCCTGAGTTGGGTGCACCGAGTCAGGTTGATCGGAATCTCGCCTCCGAGCGAGTTGCTGGTGAGACCCAGCTCCCGGAGGCGAGCGAGGTTCCCGAATTCTGAGGGGATCCCGCCGCGGAAGTGGTTGTCTGTTAGGTTGATAGATTGGAGGAAGCTGAGGTTGCCTACATGTGGAGACAGAGTGCCCTGAAAGCTGTGTTCTACGAGAAACAGAGAGGTGACTCTCTGTTCTTGGTTGCAGGTGATCCCAGCCCAGTTGCAGAAATGGAGGGAGCTGTTCCAGGAGTGGAATACTCCATCAGGGTCTTTGGTGATGGCTTTCTTGAATTCCAGTAAGGCTAGCCGGTCGGTTTCGTTGTTCCCTGAGGCGTTTGTTTGGAAAGAGGAATGTGTGATTGAGATGAGTAGAAGCAGGGGATGGAGAAGCGAGAGGCGAGCAGAGGTTTGATTTTGCTTCATTGAGGCACTAAACAAATGGGGGCGAATGTTTGAAGGAATGAATTTGTTGCGTTGCAGAATAGCGGAGACGAAATGTTTGTTTTTTTATAGGAAGGGTTGATGATATACTTGCAACTTGCAAGTGATTGTGCCAGTCTTGGTGATGTATGTATACGACATGCATACAAAGTGGTGAATGTGGACTTTGGACTTTGGCTTTCTTTTTATTTTTAGTTTTAATCATTCTTTTAATTTAACCAACCTTTTCGTCAGTTAAGCCCTCCTTGCCTCAAAGACTTATCTATCTTGGTCGTAGACAAAAATGTTGATGGTATATTATACTATATAATTTGGTTAAAAATGTTTATGTTAGTTAGAAATGAAGAGTATTTTTGTTATTCAACGAGAAAAAAAATTGTTTTGTTTTAAATGAATGTTGATGTTATTAGAAAATGAAATAAACTTTTTCAAGAATCATTAACTTTTGGAATACGAATATAGTTTTTGATTGAATAATGTTTTTTCATGGACACACATTACTATATCTATAATAATGAAATGAGATATTGTTGGTCATCCAATTCCTATTGAACCAAAACTAATGATACTTAAATGTACATTTGGGTGCTAAGTCATTGTGCGCATCGGGTGATCCATGACACAGTAGAGCATTGAGCCGCATTTGAATAGAATATTAAATCGTAAACAAAAACATACAATATCTATAGTTTCATTACAATGCCAATTGTGCAAGAAGGTCTTTTAATTTAGCAAATCTATTGATAATGGAATTTTCATTCATACCAATAGTATACTCTCTCGAAAAGAAAAAAAGGTAAGCAAACAACGAGAATGTGGTCGCCCATTTTATTGCGCATATAAGTTTCACATGTTTCATTGTTGAAAATGTTCTCTCGGTAATTCTCATTGAAACGGGCAAGGTCAACACTAGGCGAATCAATTGACCAATCAATTTGTATTGTGTGTCCGTCCTTGTTTCCGTTAGTTTCTTTAGTAATTTTGCAATATCGACCTTAGTTGGGTGCAGTATAGGATAAGTATGTTTAAATATCAACCCGGGTCGGTCCGTCTACCCCTACTTCGGTCATTTGAATCATTATCTAGCAACTCGGTTTTGGTTGAAAAGTTTGCTAATTAAAGTACAGCAAGACAAAAGGGAATGGTTTTGAAAGCTCTTTTGTGAGAAGGATCACTCAGGTGTCGCTTCCCCCTAACTACTATCATGATATGTGAAGTGAAACGATTGCTATGGGCAAGGTGATCGCGAAGCTAGGGGATGCAAATATAGTCGTAGACCACACTCCCGATTGCTAAACCGAGGAATACATTAGAGGCTGTCACTCGGCCCCCTCGGTTTAGGCAATCAATAGTTGGCTTACTCCCTCACTCAACCCAAGGGTTGGATGGCTCAATTGCGCTTAACCAAATTGCTTAATCCAACATTGAGGTTTTCCCTAAATTAACCTTGATAGGAGACTTAAAAAGCCCTAGGAATACCAATTCAATTGAGTCTCCCTTGGAAAGGTGTGTGTGGGGGGGGGGGGGGGGGTTCTCCTTAATCTAGGTTAAGTGGCTAATTAGATTGCTAAGCACAAACATGCACAATCAACATGAATAACACCTCAATCATTGAATTAAACAACACCCATAAACAATCATTCAATTAACATAACAGAAAACTACATGGTAGCTAGCTAGGGTTTCACAACACCCAAGTGAAAAAGAAATCTACTCCATGCTAGAAATGGGAGAAACACAAGGGGAAGAGGTAGAAACCATCATGAAGGAGGATTCCAATCTTTTTGGCACTTGTGCGTTACTTCTCTTGGGGAGAATCTTCCCAAATCCACTCTTGGAGCAAAACCCTAGCCACCTTCTCCTTGGGTTCGTCTTTCTCTCTCTATAATTTGAAGAAGGTTTTCTCACTCTCAAATGGGCTCCTCCTTTATCTTCCTTTTAGCTCATCTTTTAAACAGGGAATGAGCTTAGTTCACGGCCCCAGTTCACGGCCGTGAACTCTCAAACGCGTTCGTGATCTCCAAATGGGCGCCGAAACACACCGCTTCGTCTGCAAGTGTTCACGGTCAACGGCTCCTGTTCACGGTCTTAGGGACTGTGAACTCGTCTTACGTGAGTAACCTATGGAAATGCTCTGGACGCCTCAATGTTCACGGGCAACAGCTCTTCTTCACAGTCATACAAGACCGTGAACATCCAAGGAATACCGTGAACTCACTGTTTTTCACCTCTTCTCCCGGTTTTCGCTCCTTTTCATCCAACTATCGACTCCGGGACTGGTTTCACCTGTTAAATCTTGAAACACACTAAAAGACGAGAAACCTAGCGTAAAACCACCCTTTTAGAAGTCAAATTACCACAAACGCCTAAGGAAAATGGGGGTAAAACATGTACAATTAGGCCCCAATCACTCCCCCACACTTAGACGTTTGCTTGTCCCCAAGAATATCATTTCACACAAGGTAATATTTCAACCTACATAAATACTTTGGGGACAGCTCAAAGGGCACAAAGTGAGAATTCTCAATGGCTATTGGCAATTAACACATGGACTGTTGCATGCAAAACAAGAATGAATCACTCACTCTCAAGACAAGTGGGGTCAGAACCTTTTGGTGCAAACGATGTGCACAATCATAAACTCTTGGCCATATCTTCTCAATAACACGGCGGTAACCTCTAAATGGTAGAGTTCACGGAATGGTTGTCATCACTAGCTTGCCCGGAGGTCTTAGACACGGGTTCAGATGATTGGAAATTGTCTTGGACATGGGGAAAAGACTTTTTGGGTGGTAGCAATCATTACGTAAGGTTCTACATCTTCAACTTAGACCCGAAGGTTCTATGTTTCCGAGTAAAACCTTTCTCCTCAATCAAAGGCCACTAGCATCGGCCAAAAACCATATCTCTCCCTTCCAAACTATCACCCATCGTGAACTACATTGAAGCACTCTTCCTCGGTCTACTCTTGCTAGCACATTAAGGTTTGGTAGTGAAGGAGTTCTAAAACAATATGGGGGTCTCATTGGCTTGGGTGCCAAGAAACCCCTCCTAGAGCATGCACTTTGGTTTTTCGTGGCACTCTCTACCTTATTTACCTCATTTTATTACCTCTTTTTCGTTTCTCTTTTCTTTTTCTTTTTCTTTTTGAGGGGGCTACAAGAGAATAAAACCTGTGCTACCTATACAATTACGACCAATGCTCTCTTTTTGAACAACTCGCTCCAACACTACACTTCATTTTTCATTTCTAGCATGGACCGCACACAAACCTCCTAAGTAGAACCTCAATGGAACTTGAAAGTGAGAGCTCCGGTACACAAGGACGACTAATGTTTAGACACGAAGAAAGGATTGAGGGTCGTTCTATTAACACCATTAAGCTCACAAGCAAGAAGCTCCTAAATTGAGAACGACCCTCGAAGTCACAAGGCTCAAAGGGGTTGACTAGTGGATAACATATTTCGGGACAATCAACATTTTGTGTGGACTAATCATGTGCCTCCATTATACTCACTAGTGACAACTGTGATGTTACTAAGCACACAAGAAGAAAACAATCGGCTCAAAGCTCACATGGCTACCTAGTCACCCAACCATCTATTCCAATTCACAAACACAATGCATGGAAATTGTAATCAACAAGTAATTGGGTCAAGACATCCATTCATTTATGCACATGTGAGAACTAAACTTTTGCACTATCCTAATGAACCTCTCAGTCATCATCATAGGATATACTCGATCACATGCAACAATTAAGATCAATGCCAATAAACACGAGAATTTCACACACACCGGCCACTTTGATCTTGAAAACATTGCTTAGAGCCCTCAAATTTTTGAAATTTGGGCATATATCAAGGCTCCAAACATCAATCACACTCACACAAGTATAATAGTAAACTACCAACCCCACTCCCCCCCCCTCCCCACACACACACACTTAAGCTCGACATTGCCTTCAATGGCGTAAGAAAGGGGTAGAATGATGTTACCGCTTGGGCTTGGTGAGTGAAAGTTGGAATCGAATCCGGGGTAGGATATTTTGAGCTTCAAGGAGAGACAAAACACACACACACACAAACACAATATGACTCGCTCGATGCGAGGTTATTACAAACACAATACGATAGTAGTAGTGGTTTATGGTCACACACACACAAAATAAAGAAAAATAACAAAAACAACAAGTTCAGGGTTACAAGTGGAGAAGTGGGGCAAAAAAAAATCGGCTTTGCCACATGTCTCACTCGTCGGCTACCTCTCTCTGGTGGAAGGACCCCCTTCCTCATCTAGGAGGACGCCCTGGCGTCGAGCCATCAACTCGAGGAGATCAATCTGTCGGTCGATGCGGGAGGAGAATTCCACGAAGTCTGTCTCTAGGCGATCCACCCTTTGGACGAGGGGATCACCTTTTGCTGCTGGTGGTGGCTGTGCTGGGCGCTGGAGCGCTGGATGCCGGCGACGGCCGGGTGCTTGAGCTAGTGGCTGCTCTGTTGCTGGTGGGACCTCGGGGTTAGGCTCCACTGAAGCCAGGGCAACTACTGCTCTTATGACTCTGGATGGTCGGAGTCCCTCGAGGTACTCCACTCCTTGCTCTCTCTGGAGTACCAGCTTCTGGTTGTAAAGTGTCTCCACTAGGAAGGGTTCCGTCCTCCCTGTGCTCGTACACCGAGCCAGAGTGTCGGGCTATCCTCGTAATGAGGCCCCCCATATGCATAGTGTCCACTCTGTTGCGCCCCAGACACCAGGCGAAAGAAGTGGCGATTCGAGATCCCAGATGGATCGGCTCCGCTGGACTCCTCATGTAGTAGAGGGTAATGAGCCCTCTGTTCATCATCAGATGGCCGGACTAGAGGCTGGGGACGACTAAGCGGGTGAGCAAAGTGTGGAGGATCCTCCAAGGAGTCCTCAGCTTTATTGCTTTGGTGCGGCTCCCCTAAAACTCGTCATGCTCATGCTCGGGGCTGCAGAGGGCT